GCTCTTCATGTCCTTTGCCATTTCATGATCTCATCTTCGGGGCCGTAGATTTCTGCTTCATTCTCCTTTGCAGACATGCATGCTGACTGCGCGGGTTGGTACAGACGATGCATGTGTTCTGTAAGATGTTCCGAAAGATCATACACAGTCAAATCCGTCCCCTCGTTTCGAATCTGCGGCATGGCTGCCCTCCTGTCAAGCGATGACCCATATGTCCAAAACCGCCGGGAACCATCTCGCCTCTCTTCAGTTAAGCTCTCAGCTGCTTGCCATTGTGCTCGGCAATCTTGCGTTGTACTATTGCTTGCATAGCTCTTTTGCACTCCAGGTACCTCTGCCATAGCTCTGCACATTCGTGTGGAGGGAGTGTCCTTACCGCTTTTCTGTGTAGGTGATTCGCCTCCCGTCAAGCACTTAGTGCCACTTTGACCTCCTTGTCCCACCATGGTTTCCGACGCGCCCCTCCACGGGACTTAACCCATACTTTATGTGCTTCCATTATCTGTTGCAGAGCTTCTACATATTGGTCATAGGAAGGTGACTCCAGATTCATGAGCCTGCCTCCAAACTCTTGGGTGATGTCTTCGTATGTCTCTTCCGGTAGGTAGCGTGCGGCCGACTCACGACAGTCTGCCCATTTTTGGTGCCAGGAGGAAGTCGAGAAGGTCAATTTAATTCGGTTATGACCACTTCCCACACTGAACTTTTCCATCCTTGTCTATTGTGATTTATGTAGCGTGGCGGGCCCCGCCACGGTGGTCTAGTGGCTAAGGTACTCGGCTGCTGACCCGCAGGTCGCGGGATAAAATCCCGGCTGTGGCGGCTGGATTTCCGATGGAGACGGAAATGTTGTAGGCCAGTGTACTCGGATTTGGATGCACGTTAAAGAACCCCAGGTGGTCGAAATTTCCGGAGCCCTCCACTGCAGCGTCTTTCATAATCATATGGTGGTTTTGGGACGATAAGCCCCACAAATCAATCGATTTAGCATGGCGAGACAGCTCGTGGCATCGTGCTCGCGGCATCGTAGCTGGTGGCATTGTGGAGGCCTAGCTCCATCTAGTGGCATTAACAAGAAACGTAAACACACTGGTGTCTTAACAGGACATCAGAGGTCTGTCACTGTTCCCGTTAATTGGGGAGGCAATCGGCTGGCTAATTCCAAGGGCTGAAGCATTGGCACCCCGAACGGCACCACGAAAGCACGGACAATTTAGAAGTGGTGCTGTTTGGCGTGCCAGCGAACGCCGGCTGTGGTCCAAAGAACGAGTCAGAGACGAGAGTTGATAAAGAAAAGAGAAATATATCTTCAAACATGGCAGATCAAACAATACACAAATATGCACTCTCTGCAATAGTCCAATACAATATGTCACCGCACAAATCACGGGCTACACAGTACAATCAAATAGACTCAAAGCAACGGACAAAAACAACAATACGCACTACAATGCAATCACATGCATCAAGCAACCAAGACACTTGAAGACTAACTAGCTCGTAAACTTAAAAAGGAAGAAGGTTTGGGAGCATTGGTTATTCATGGTTCTTCATAAAACAGAGCACACAAAACACATGACAGAAACAGAGCGCTTGTCCTGATCTCTTTCTGTCCCGTGTGTTTTGCACTCTGTTTTATGAAGAACTATCGTAAACTTATTCAAAGTTCTAGGAACAAAGTTTGAATGATACTCTTCGAAGAATCATTCACTCAAAGTCCAGCTCTGTTGTTGATCCACTACCCCTAAAATTTCTCTTCCGGGAAACCTCGCGTCTTCAAATGTCCGCTCGCCAAGCATCAAACGTCTTCGCCGGAAACATGTCGACTTCTCATGCATTGTGATTGCAGGACGCGTCCTCGCTTGCTGGTGGTAGACACGCACTCTTTTTCTGCTTGAAGCACAAGCCTTCACCCCTCAAGTGGAAACCCTATTCATCACCTGCTTTGTCACTGACGACAAAAGCCTTTGCCCAATGGTAGGACAACTCTACGCATACTGGCGCAAATTTCTTTCATCTCCTGCTTTGCCACTGAGGACAAAAGCCTTTGCCAACACGACAGAAAGACCCTACGCAAAATTGCGCAAAACTTCCTCTTCATCTCCTGATCACCCTTTCCGCTGCTTGCTTAAATACATTCGTGCTAGGTTCCAGACGTTTCTGATCGCCTCATCGGCGCGATGCACAGCCAAGGCTGGGAAAAGGGCAAGATGTTTCAAGAACCGTCCGCAACAGGTGACGCAATAAGGAAGTGACTCACGCTTTCCTTCTTGATGATTCTGGATGTCACCCGGCGAGACGTTTTTAGCAATACTCTCTGATGTCAGAGCTATGGAAAGGGTGGGACCTCTCTCTCGTAATATGAAGGAGCTATGCATCACCATGCCCCTTTCCTTTTAGATTTCTACAGCGATCTTTCGTTGACCGATACGAAGAGATTGGTCGGCGTAGCGACACTTTCGAGGGGGAGAAGCGGTGCGTCTGAGGAGTCCGTTTCTTCTTTTCGCTGGCTTTGTCCCGGCAATGTGGCGCCTGGTATCGTCCCCGTTGCCAAAGTTCGAAGGTGCGCACTTTCTTGAGCGCTCGTTTGTGACAAGGTCACACGATACAAGAAGTTCTATCCTCAATGTGCACGACAAAATGTGTGTATTCCCTATTCCAATGCAGCTAAGTTTCACTGCTGGCACAAAGGAAGACTGAAGAAATAAATTCTAAATTCTGAAGTTGGCTGATGTCAAATAATTCAGTTAATGCAGTGGTGACAGAAAATTTGTGAGCCTCTTGTTTTCTAATCGGTAATAGCAGCAAAGAAACTCGATTGCCTTTTCGTGAGACGAATGTTTATTATCTGATCTTATGTTGCAACCAAAAGCACTTTCGATTTCAAAGAGCACTCAGAGACCCCGTGACATAGTCTGCATACTCGTTAACAAAATACCATGAGTTGAACATGAGAGGCAGCAACGTCACTGGCCAGCTTCTGCTAGGGTGTCAGCGCCACCGTTTCGTTTGCTGTGTTCAGCATTGCAAGTGCCTGTTTCCTCAATCGTCAAATTATGTTGCTTATCTTGTGCAGTAATGGACAAAGGAGCTAGGAGGAGTGCAAGATCAATTAGAAAAGCTCGATTCACTATGTGAACATCGCCAGTGGCAGCAATTTTGTTTTGGTTATCGTCTTCTAACTGAAACGACATGTCCCATGAGGCTTGGAGCAGCCGCAGCATTAGGTGTACTGAAACATTTTCACTCCGATCATTTTTAAAGCAGCAGGTTGAGAAGTTGCCAAAGAAGCTGTGAAACTGCACCACTGGGGCCCTGTAACTGCGTTTATGTCTAACATGTAAGCGACGTGATGTATATTTTAATGACTCTTATTAGGTCGCGCAATGCGGCATTCTCAAGGCATACTGACCTCACATGTGCACGTCACAGCGATGAAAAAATTATCTGCATCTACTATGCAATACGATCCCAGCAGTATATAGCTTTAGTTTGTCTGTACATGTCCCAATGTTTGCAGGAACCCGATCACCGGAGGGTTAATGGCTGCAGCAGTAGCAGCAGCCACAGAACCTGTAATGACATTTTGTGACGTTTTGTCCAAGTATAATTTTCTTTTTGTTTTCTCTACCCCATCACAATTCTTGTCGAAAAAGAAACAATGAGAGTACCGTGACTTGCTAATTATTTCACTGCCAATGCTTTATACAGCGGGTGAGTTGCTGCACTGTTATATTTGCAGGTCTCTGGTTAGACTCTGCATTGTAAGGTGTCGCTATCAGTGTTGTCTGTCTCATACACACTCCTGCTAGCATGGCCAAAACTCGTGACGTACGCTGTTTACAAAAGGCTCCACTCGATAACCTCATCATTCATGCTTCTATTTCCAATACAGCACTTTATGAGCTTGAAATCTGAACTGTAATACATTTTAGGGTGTATTTGTAGCTAATATTGAACTGATGGCACCTTTATTTTTGCATTAGTGTGATGTAGCAGTCAGATTGCGCCCGAATTTTTGTGTCACCTACTCTTAACATGGTTTCTGCAAACATATTTTTTAATCACACAGTCTATGACAGATAGCAGCCACCGCAATGAAGCTGCACATTTTCCAGCAATGTTAAGCGGTTAAGGGGGAACCTGCTCCTCACTTCTGCAGTGGGGGAGACTAAGGACATGCATACCACCCAAGCACCCAGTGCAATATTCTATGTGCATTCTGCAATCAAGTACGTTCAGTATTTTCACTCTGCTTATGTCCAGTGCCAACACAGATCTGGTGTTTTTCTTGATGTGTTTCAATCAACAAGCATAAGTAGCTATAAAGGTGATAGTACTAAACACAATAAACTCCACACATATTAGAAGCAATTGTCATTGTTGAGGAAATGAATTTGCTGACAGGACTAATATCTCGCTGAGCAACTTCAATTGGTCAAAAAAAAGACGTCGCCATTTGTTTTGGCATGGACCGATCTGGGGGCACGCACCTAATCCTTCTTTATGCATTTTTCAGGCATGAAACAACAAAAATTATGTGATGACAGTGATACAAGAACACAACTTGTGACAACCTGAAAAGTTGACAAGATATTGATCGCCTGATAAAGACAGTGTTATGATGGCGTGACAACACTGGAATTATAACAACTAGATATAGCTGAAATTCTGGTAACAGTATGACAATGCTGGAATGATGACGATAAAATGACCATGATGGTATGTTGACTGCATGACGATGGCTCAATGGCGATGGCACAGTGATGACAACAAAGTGGTGATGACACTAAGATAACATTGGAATGGTAATGATAGGATGGCATAGTCGGAAAGACTGTGAAAAGGCACGCAAAGCAACATCGCACAAGCGTCACCACATTGGTAAAAAAAGAAAAAGCAAAATAGCAAAAAAATGCCCCTTAGAATATAAGCCAAACCCCTAGTTTAGAAATGCATGTACAGCGAAGAAATTGGAATCACCTTAGGGGCTTACCCACCTTTGCCCACTCCTTATCCATTGGCTTTCAATAAGGCAAACAAATACCTCAGCCTTTGCAGGAATCACTGCGGCTTTTTGCTGGCAGCAGGCACTAGAAGAGAGATATGTTGGTCAGTGAGTGACAATAAACACCTGATAATAAAGTCGAACCCCTTTATAAGAGGCACTGATGTAACAGAGGAATCGGTTTAGCAGACCCCAGTGTCCCTTAGATTAAAATAGGGGTTGATAAGAAAACACATACGTGATACCCTGCTTCTAAGAGACACCTCATATAAGATACATAAATTGCTGCCCGGTGCATGTATCTTATAAAGGGGTTCAACTGTATAAAAAAAGCTAAAGCGGTTAACGACAAAAGTTGCAACATTTCTGATGAATGCTTTCTCTGCAATTAAATGATAGGTGATGAAGTGTCCTTCCTCAAAGTGACAGATTTTATTTGTAATGTTCATCATTTACTACAGTTATTCAATACTGCTGAATAAAGAACTTATTTTGTTTATGCTGTGGTAAAGCCTTTGAACAGTGGGTCATCCTCTTCAGCGCCTTCTAGTGGGTCGCCCTTTTTCTTAAGAAGAAGAGCAGCTCGTGCAGACAGTCGATCCCCGCATTGACTGTCGCTGTCGTGAATCATCGCTGAGTGTCCGTCAATAAACCGCTTAACAATTTGGTGGAGAGTGCTGAGAGTGCTGTGCCCTTCAAACACCTTCGGTCAGCATTCGATGCCCTTGGAGCTTCGATCCCGTACCGTGCCTCCAACCATGTACCAAGACGCCGCCCAGCAAACCCTTCCTCCTACGTCGCCGCCATGTCCCGGTGTCCCCCGCATCCGCGACCCTCCTGTCTTCACCGGCGCGGATGGCACCGACGTCGAGGACTGGCTTGCCATGTACGAACGTGTGAGCGTCCCCAATCATTGGGATGAGGCAGCTAAACTAGGTAACCTGTTCTTCTACCTTGCGGGTGTGGCCGGAATGTGGTACAATAACCACGCATCTGATTTCCCGACTTAATCCGCTTTTAAAACCGCTGTCGTCGACGTGTTCGGCCGCCCTGCTGTTCGTAAGCTGCAAGCTGAACAGCGTTTACGTGAACGAGCCCAGCAGACCGGTGAGTCCTTCACAAGTTATATCGAGGACATCCTTGACTTGTGCAAGAAAGTCGACCTGAACATGTCAGAGGCTGACAAAATCACGCATGTTCTAAAAGGCATCGCCGACGATGCCTTCACCATGCTCCTGGCAAAGAACCCCCGCACTGTGGCAGAAGTCATCATGTTATGCCAAAGTTACGACGAGCTGCGGCGGCAGCGCTTGATGACCCGTCGTCCGCCACCACGTGATGCTGATCTCTCGGCCTTGTCAGCAGTTCCAGACCACGCAACCTTGCTCGCCGAAATCAAGTCGTTCGTGCGTGAGGAAGTTGCCCGCCAGGTCTCTCTACTGGCTTTTGCTTCCCCACAACAAGCTCAACAGCCATCAAGTACACTTCTACCTCCGCTCCGCCGAGCCATTCAGCAGGAAATCGCGGAGGTCGTCCCTGAATACCACCAGCCACCTCCCGCATCTGTGCCACTCAGCTACGCCCAAGTTGTTGCCAGGCCGCCCCCACCGATTTCTGTCACTGTTCCGCTAAATTACACAGAAACCGTCGCGAGGCCCCAGGCCTTTGGAGAACCTGTCTCGCCTACATACGCCGGCGTCACCCACGTGCCCCGAGTGCCGCCTATCATGCACTCATATCAGCAGCCGGCTCGCCAATCGCGTTCTGCGACATGGATGCGACCAGCAAACCAATGGCGCACTGCTGATAATCGCCACATCTGTTTTGCTTGCGGTTGCGTCGGTCATGTGGCACGATATTGCAATCGTGTGCAGCAACCGCAGGTCGCCTCCAACTTTCCCAGCCAGTCAAGACGCTCTTATGACCAACCGCCGCCTATGTCACCGTCGTCCCGCCCCGTTCCGTCTACCCGCCGTTCACCATCTCCACGACGTCGCTCACTGTCACCGATGCGGCCACGTCCACTCGAGGGCGACCAGGAAAACTAGTCGTCGCAGTCCACGAGGCAAGGGCTGCGACACTGTCGAACTGCGGAAGCCCTCAGGAAAGCCCGTCGAACGTGATAGACGTGCTTGTGGATGGCGTTCGTGCATCTGCCCTTGTAGATACTGGAGCCGCCGTATCCGTGATGGACGAAAAACTTTGCCGATTACTGCGCAAAGTGACCACGCCGCTTTGCGGGCTCTCCCTCCGTACAGCCAGTGCCCAAAGCATTCACCCTACAGCGATGTGCACAGCCCGCCTTATGATTCAGGACGTGATGTATGCGGTCGAATTCATCATAATTTCTTCATGCTCTCACGACGTCATCCTAGGATGGGATTTTCTTTCCCGCCACGACGCCGTCATTCATTGCACACCAGCAGAAATAGAACTCGCGCCATTCTCTTCTTTGACGCCGGCCGACAGTCCATCCGCTGCAAGCAAGTTACTCGTCAGAGACGACACTCAAGTGCCTGCAAACTCGTCCGTTGCGGTGTCGCTCTACTGCGCAAGCCTTTCTGACACCGCTGCACTCCTCTCGCCATCTCATCGTGTTTTCATAAGAAAAAGCTTGCTAGTTCCTTTCGCGACCATCCAACTCACTCACGGCAGCACCACTATTTTTGTTGTGAACCCATCTCCGTACAGCGTTACGTTGGTGCGAGGAGAATGTCTCGGCAGCGTGGAACCCATCGAAGACGCGCAAGTTATGGATCAACCCGATGACATGCACTACCCAAGTTCCTGTACGCTTGGTGCTGTTTCGACATCTGCTTCATCATCCGATGATATATTCGGTCCCTGCATACCCGACGACCTTACGCAGGGCCAGCGTTCCCAGCTTTTGGGCCTGTTGGAAGAATTCCGCTCTTCTTTCGATGTCGCTCAACCTTCTCTCGGCCGCACATCCACCGTTACGCATCGCATCGACACAGGCGCACAGCCACCGCTGCGGCAACGTCCATATCGCGTATCTCCCACAGAACGCCGTGTAATCAACGAGCAAGTCGACGACATGCTTCACCGCGATGTTATTCGCCCCTCTAGCAGCCCCTGGGCATCTCCTGTCGTTCTCGTCACGAAGAAGGACGGTTCTGTGCGGTTCTGTGTGGACTACCAACGCCTCAACAAGATCACTCGTAAGGACGTGTATCCACTACCGCGGGTAGATGACGCGATCGACAGCCTGCAAGGAGCAGAATTCTTTTCATCCCTCGATTTGCGCTCAGGGTACTGGCAAGTACCTATGGCTGAGGACGCTCGACCAAAGACCGCTTTTGTCACCCCCGACGGCTTGTACGAGTTTAACGTTATGCCGTTTGGGCTGTGCAATGCGCCCGCCACCTTTGAGCGCATGATGGATACAGTTCTGCGTGACCTGAAATGGCACACGTGCTTGTGCTACCTTGATGACGTCGTCGTTTTCGCTCCTGACTTCTCGACGCACCTTCAACGCCTTCGGCATGTTTTAACGCGTCTGAGAAACGCCAGTCTGCAACTGAACCTAAAGAAGTGCCAATTTGCAGCTCGGCAGCTGACAATACTCGGCTACGTCGTGTCCAAGGACGGAATTCTCCCTGATCCAACCAAGCTTCGGGCCGTGACCGAGTTCCCCAAGCCGACATCCGTGAAGGAACTGCGCAGTTTCGTAGGACTGTGTTCCTACTTTCGGCGCTTCATTCGAAACTTCGCGACTATCATATCGCCGCTGACGAAGCTTCTCGGACGTAACGGGCCTCTCCATTCGTGGTCATCACAGTGCGACGACGCTTTCAGAACACTTCGTCGTTTGTTGACGTCGCCTCCCATACTCCGCCACTACGAGCCTACGGCCCCTACAGAGGTACACACGGATGCCAGTGGTGTCGGCCTCGGCGCTGTCCTTGCGCAGCGCAAACCAGGGTTCCCGGAATATGTCGTGGCGTACGCGAGCCGTACGCTTACTAAAGCCGAGACTAATTACACAGTCACCGAGAAAGAATGTTTGGCAATCGTCTGGGCCCTTGCAAAGTTCCGACCTTATTTGTATGGTCGCCCATTTGATGTCGTCACCGACCACCACGCACTATGCTGGTTGTCGTCATTGAAAGATCCCTCAGGCCGTCTCGCCCGGTGGGCACTTCGCCTGCAAGACTATGACATCCGCGTGCTGTACCGCAATGGAAGGCAACATGCTGACGCCGACGCCCTGTCGCGCTCTCCCTTGCCTGACGACAACGCCAACTCAGTGTCTCACCTTGCCATTTCTTCGATTAGCATTCATGCTATTGCTACTGAACAGCGCAAGGATCAATGGATTGCCTCACTGATAGACTTGCTGACTGATCCATCCACTCCATCCACTCGCGCGTTGCGTCGTCAAGCCCACCATTTCGCCGTTCGCGACGACCTCCTCCATCGACGCAATTACAACGGTGACGGCCGCCAGTGGCTACTAGTCATACCTCGCAGTCTGCGCTCTGACATATGCGAATTATTTCATTCTGATCCGCAGTGTGCGCACTCCGGGGTATCAAAGACGTACCACCGCATTCGCCAACGGTACTTTTGGCGCGGCATGTACCGCTACGTGCAGAAATTCGTTCGCTCCTGCATAGAATGTCAGCGCCGCAAAACTTCAACGCACCTGTCGCCGGTAGGTCTGCAACCTCTACCTTGCCCTGCCAGGCCATTTGGGCGCGTTGGCATCGATTTGTATGGGCCACTTCCACTAACGTCGGCTGGTAACCGCTGGGCCATTGTTGCTGTGGACCACCTCACGCGATACGCCGAAACGGCCGCTCTTCCCGCGGCTACAGCGAGCGATGTGGCTTCCTTTCTGCTCCAACGATTCATTCTGCGACATGGCCCACCCCAGGAACTTCTCAGTGACCGAGGCCGTGTCTTCCTGTCTGAAGTCGTTCAAGCCATTCTCAAAGAGTGCAACGTTGTTCACCGCAAAACTGCTGCTTACCACCCGCAGACGAATGGCCTCACAGAACGCTTCAACCGTACGCTGGGCGACATGCTCTCCAAATACGTCGCCGCCGATCACACAAATTG